AGGAAGTATAAATGTTCTATATATTTTATTCAGTGTACGTCGGTTCAGGGTATATTTCAATTTACGGAGGACACTTAATTGTTTAACTACTTTTTTACATATATTATCAATGTGATAGGTCCATTTACAGTTAGCATTGATGAATACTCCCAGATGCTTATGATTTTCAACAAATTCAATACTTACATTATTAAAGTTAATTTCAATGAGGTGATCAAGATCAATATTAGAAATAAGTAAAGCCTCTGTTTTTGCAGGATTGAATTTGACAAGCCACTTATCTGCCCACAATTGTATATTTACTAGATCATTATTAATTTTTTGTTCAATTACTTGTGGTGATTTATCCGAATACAAAAGAGAGGTGTCATCAGCAAATAGTTTTGATAGACTTTCTATATTATCTGTTATGTCATTAATATAAAGTATAAACAGCAATGGGCCAAGAACCGAACCCTGAGGTACTCCTGCATTTGTATACACTTATGTTGAAATATAAAACATTGCAGAAGGACCACGCACCATTTATTACAAATGATGAATGCTTTTTACTATGACATTTATGGGCTGGACATCACCGATTACACTTTGCTAAAAAAAAAACTTGGAACACTTTCATAATACAAAATTTAACACGTGCTTGCGATGTACATTTTTTTCAATCCTTGTACCACACACCCCAGTTCTATATTTTTAAAATAAGATTAATAAACACTGACCGGCTGCCATGGGTCGCCGTAGTTCTTCCATCATATATCAACTTGTACGTAACAATTATAATGCAAACATGCTTATTAATTATGATTATAATATCATTTGTTAATGGATTGTGATTTACTGGGACATGTCTCAAATATTTGAATCAAGATCTTATAAGATATTTATTTATCCAGCAAAGGTAATTCCACCTTAAGCAGCATCTTCAAAGTATATGCTTAAATCTGGGACAGAACACAAGTTGTCTTATGAAAAATAAACTTGTCAAAGAAATACTTAGAGGATCTTGCATAAGGTCTAAATAATATTTTAGACGAGTCTTAGAACTAATAACTTTAGTTTATTAATTATTTAAGAAATAGAAGCGAATGTAACATTACTTGATCAAATAAACAAGGCGTGGTGCAAACTCATGCTGACTTGAAATCTGGAATATCGACAATATTGACTGCAACCCATACTTTGACGTCACAATGAAATTCGCAAAGTGTGTCAACATGAAGTTCCGATTTTCTGATTGAAACAGTGGTAAACTACTGGAAGTAACAGCTCCGCTTTGTTGATTAAACCTGTGTTTATAATGATTCATTTTGATCGTGTTTTGACACCTATAACATACTACGCTATGTTATCTCTTTTCTCGCAAGGATGTCCTCAGTTACATATTGAAAGAAACAATATTAACGGTGAAAACTTAAAAAAAAAAAATCAACCTACGCTTTCGTTAACTCAGGTCAAAGCGAGATTATTCAACATTTGATTTAGACGACGTTTTGAGAAACCCTACACCTTATAACATGACAGGTATCCATTACTACACCTTATTACAAAAGCACGTGTCAGGTACCTATTGTCTAAATCCTTGTTTCTGCATGTTCGGAGAAAGAATAGGTCCCCTGGATCCACCTGCCTGCCGTAAAAGGCGGCACCTACTGTGGGCCCCTGCATAATTGGGATTCATTTCTTCTGCTTAGAAAACATTGAAGAACGTAAAAATTGATCTGAAGCAGACATTGCAACATTTGGGATATTTTAAGTTTCTCTCTACTTCCTAATATCCTTTTGTTTCTTAGTTCTCCGATTGACATTACCTCATTTTGGCCGTATCGTTCTCCCAAGTTGGTAAGGCAATCAGTTCTGTCCCCTGGCCTGTAAATAATATTCCCTGCAAAAACTTGCGGGTGGAATACATGTGTGGTGCTGGGTGTCTTCGGCATGGTGTTTCAGTGAGATAGCTCTATGAAGTCGGCTCAGATCCGCACTGGTTTCACCACAAGTACACTAAACACATGGCGCCGATAGGACGTTAAACCGTATACAATAGGAGTAAAATCTAAAATGTATAACATGTCAAGTACCTCAACCTGATCACCTTCCAAGCATCTATTTCATAAACCTCACATGTATTATATATTTCAAGTAGGCATTTCCTATATGAAGGTAGCCCGTACTTCGCAGAAATCATACAGTTCTTCAGCAATGACTAATCCGTCTTTGCGTATTGCAGAGTTATCTTCTCTTGTGAGCAGGGATTGATTGTTAGGTCATTGGTTTGTGTGAGAAAATTACGTCGTTTTCTCAAAAATTGATGACGTAACAATCACTACCTGCTCACAAGAGAAGATAACTCTGCAGTACGCAAAGACGGTATACTTACTTCAAGATTATGAATTAAAGTTATTATTTTGTCTATATCAGTTCGGTTTGCCAAGCTAAAGAAACATCCCAGAAATGTTAACCATCCAATATATAAAGATTAAGAGTGCGTCAGAATTTATTTAGTATTACCATCAGGTACTAGACTTGTTGAAGTGATACACGTTTCTCGGCGGTAAGATTTGAAGATCAAAGTAAACATTCGAAATGGCGTAGGACGTTAACGGTAAACGTTACTGAAAAAAAGTGAAGACATCAAATTCATTGGAATGAAATTTCCTATCGACGGCACAATGAATTTGAAAACCAAATATAGACCTTATTACCATCATATGGAGGCACGGTGGTCTAATGGTAGGACGCCGGGCTCGTGACCGAAGGGTTGTGGGTTCGAGTCGCGGAACGGCACTGTGTTGTATCTTTGAGCAAGATGCTTTACTCTCATCTTGTTCCAGTCTACTCAGCTGTAAAAGAGTACGTGGGTTGGCAGTGCTAGAATTGTAGAATGCTAGCTATGAGCGCCGAAATGGCAGCACCGGCTGTATGCTCCCCAGGGAGTTGAAAAAGATGTTGACAGTTTGCAAAGGCCCTATAACTATGGATAATGATTTGTAAACCGCTTTGAGACGATCTACGAACTAGGTTGTGATAAGGCGGTATATAAGAACCTCGAGTTATTATTATTATTATTAATTATATATCAATTTCTTAAACCTTTCATGTATAACATATCAGGTACCATTTCTCTTAACATTATATCATGTAAGGTACCCAATTCTTTAACTTTATAACATATCAAGTACTTTGATAAAACATTGGTAATATTTAAATGCCAAATTATTTGGGGGGGGGGGGGGGGGGTGTAGTTTGTGTATTGTGTGTGACGTCATCAGTTTCGCATTACCTACGAAATTATCTCCCCTGTTTCAGCCTTTTGCTTCTGATTTCAGGTATTCTTTCCAGGACTTTCTCACCAATGCTTCGTCGACCTTACAAAAAAAGCTATTAATAGTAACATGGAAGCCGAATTAGAAAGGCTGTGGAAAGACCATTCATAGTTTGACCAATGAGATTTGAGCAGCTAAATGCAACGACCAATCAGATTTGAGCAGATATATGCATCGACCAATCAGATTTGAGCAACGATATACAACACACGATTCTGTTATCAAGTTATTCCCTAAGTTTGATTTGACTGATTAATTGTTAGCATTGATTTAGAAGAAAAAGAAAAAGAAAACAAACGTTTTAGTTGGAAAATACCAAACTCTTTTTGTTACTAGTTATCTATAAACACGTTACATGCACTTCAGCTAAAGATGTAGACCTCGCTCAGTGTTACGTGAAAATCTGCGAAAATAATGACGGAAATTATAACGGAAAATCGGATTTCCAATTTAGACAAACAAAATAACAAAACAAAATCGTATACTGTTAATATTATCAGTGTGCGTCACCATGTAGATGAGACAAGAAGACTAGTTTAATACTTTGATGTACATTAAAAGAATTGCTCGGTCGCGTAACGGTAAAATTGACTGGCTTTGTAGTTGAGTGTCGCATCTCTGTACTCATTTTGTACATTGTAATGTATGTGAGGAAACCAATAAACTTGAAATTTGTAATCTTCAAATGCCCAGGTATCGATTGGTCAGATTTTTTTCTTCTACCCGAGACCGATCAAATTGCTAGCCGCGTGCATTCAATTTTGCTTTGACATATTCCAGGGGTACAGAGAGCGTATAAGTGAAGGTACCCCCTAGAATATCGAGGATGCTTTGTCATCATGCACCAGGTCAAAATATAGGCCTTCTACCACCTCCGACCCGCTCTGGAAAGAGCTTCCCAGTCATTTTCAATACGTTCATCAGATATTTATCACTAAGCTATGCTGTGCTAGTGTTCATGTTTTGTTTAGGACAGGAGATTAGCAATAGGCGGTAGGATTGATATTTGTGACAAGGCACTTGGATTGGTCCATGTGACTGGCAGGTGACAATAGCTGAGCAGGATTGATCTATGTTGCAGGAACATAACAAAAGTCGATGGGGTTGATATCATTGTGAAAGAAGGGTGACAATAGTCGTAGGGATTGATATCATTGTGACAGGAGGGTGACACTAGTCGGTAGGTTATATATCATTGTGACAAAAGGGTGACATTAGTCGTAGAGATTGACATCATTGTGACAGAAGGGTGACAATATTCGGTGGGGTTGATATCATTGTGACGGCAGGGTGACAATAGTCGGTAGGTTATATATCATTGTGACAAAAGGGTGACATTAGTCGTAGGGATTGACATCAATGTGACAGGAGGGTGACAATAGTCGATGGGGTTGATATCATTGTGACAGGAGAGTGACAAAAGTCGGTAGGTTACATATCATTGTGACAGGAGGGTGACAATAGTCGGTGGGGTTGATATCATTGTGACAGGAGGGTGACAATTGTCGATGGGGTTGATATCATTGTGACAGGAGAGTGACAAAAGTCGGTTGGATTGAAATCATTGTGAAAGGATAGCTTAGTCATGTCACGTGACACATCAGTTGCAACATCAGTCATGTGAAATAACCATCAAACATATGATCAGCATAACAAACAACACACCAGTCATGTGATACAACACAAAACAACACACCAGTCATGTGATACAACACACCAGTACTATTTTCTACAAAAGAGGACGAATCACGACATATTGTTGACAAAAAGTGGACAAAATGCGACCTGATGTTAGCGTGTGGGAGTCTTAGTGTGGGAGGAAACCGGAGTACCCGGAGAAAACCCACGTGGTTTGGCAGGTGACCCCAACCTTTTCACGTCCGAAAGGCAAGTGCGCTATCCACTGCACAACCCTACCACCCTCTGAGTGACGTAGTACTGCATTAAAATAAAAACACCTTTCAGTTCAAACAAGGACGCAACACCACCTGTTACAACACCTTCCAGAGCACCAACACACATACTTCCTACACGAAAACATTGTAAATATGCTGTGAATTTTATATTGTAAATAACGTATGTTGTAACTATTTATTGTTTGTAAATATGTTTATGCATAAGGTTATTAAGGAAAGTGAAAATATATGATTAAAAAGAGCAGAAAAAGAGGAGAAAAGAAAAGAAAGGAGAAAAATAAACAACGAAACAGCGTCGCCGAGAGAGAGAATACCTGAAATCAGAAGGTAAAAATAGAAACAATGGGATCTAATTCCATTTTGTATCATTCGAAATATACTCTACTCATCCCTATGATCTCTTCTGTCTTTCAAAACTTTTTTTTCTTTTTTTCTTCTATGTTCCTTGTTTTCATACAATTATTTTGATTGGCATATGTCGCTATCACTATCAATGTAATATTATAGTTGAGGAGAAGGCTTCAATAATTTGTTATAACTTGTTCCCAATCCATTTGATTATATCAATAAAATATGTTTAAATCAAATCTAATTCCGTCAGAATGACGTCACACGCAATATCCACATCTATTGGAAACAGGGAGAGATTATTCAGTCTGTAACACTAAACTGATGACGTCACAGAAATACACACATCGATGATAGTGACGTCACGTTCGACGACTGTGACGTCATCTTAAGCTACCCCATGGTGAACACTTTGACCTAGTTGAATTCGTTTCTGCCGGACCTAAGAACTACGCGTACCGCACAAACAAAAACAACACTACGTGTAAGGTCAGGGGATTTTCCCTGAACGTACAAAACGACAGGACTGTCAACTTCTCTGTGATGAAAGACATTGTATTGTCGGACCGCGGTAGAGTCACAAAAACAGTAGACGACAAAATAATGAGGGATCAGAGGACATTTGCGCTGTACAACGAAACGCGTACCAAATTGTATAGATTCGTATATACTAAAAGGGTCATTGACCCCCACAGCTTAAACACGTATCCGTACGGTTATTAAGTAAAGAGCTGTGTTCACTCCTTTTTTCGTTACAGGTGCTACATCTGAATCAAAATCGGCGACACTCTTTACTTTGCGAATCGATTAAGGACCCCTGTACTATCTTTGTAAACCACTTGTACTACAGAGGGACCAAAAGTAACTCTTATACTTTTATTTTCACTTTGTGTTATGACGTCACACTAACGGATAGTTGACACGACACATTTGTATTTCATTCTAAAGATGATAACAATTAACGTTATGTAAAAAATAAAATTGTATTTGAATAATACACATATTTCTTTCAGTTCTTTATGATAAGCTTAAGATCATCAAAATAAAGGAGAAGCTTTGTATTTCTGAAGAATTTTCCAGATTACACTAACATGTTTGCAATCTCCAGACGTTTTGCCAAGGCAACTTGTCCCGTAGAGTTGTCTTCTGCTGGTGGACAGCAGGTATCATCTGGCATATCAAACTCTTCGTCATCATAAGATTCATTCTGTAGAATGAAATTGTGTAGTATACAGCATGCTACAATGACATTAGGGATTTCATTCTGCAAGTGCATGTCAAGAAATTGCAGCCTCCTGAATTTACATTTAAGGAGGCCAAATGCACGCTCAATATCAACTCTTGTTGAGGAGTGAATCTTGTTGTATTTCTTTTCAATATGACTAAGATGCCCATTGTCACGAAATGGCACCAGCAAGTTTACTGACAGGGGATAGGCCGAGTCTCCCAGGATATGCTGGTTCGGTGGCAATGATGGAAGTTTCGCCAGATTCGTGCATCATGAACTGACCCTGGCCAACCAGCATAAACATCCCGGAAGACAAGGTTGCTGTCACAAACAGTCTGTAGCTGGATGCTTGGAAGCCTTTCCTGTTAATATAGGAATCCCTGTGTGTAGAAGGCCCAGGGATAGGTATGTGTGTCCCATCCATAGCACCAACCACACCAGGAAAACCTAATCTGTTAAAAAAAACCATCAGCAACATACTTCAGTTCTGCAGCAGTAGAGGGCCAGACTATGAATTTCTTCTGTTGAGCAACTATTGCTTCAACCACACTGAGAACATTTTCATGCAACGAACTCTTGCTGAAGCCGAAGCGGTCAGCCACACTTCTGTAACACTCCTTATTGCCAAGCAACCATAATGATGCAAGAATTTTCATTTCCAAGCAAATACTCCTCTCTGGGATATTATGTACCAAATCACCACACAGTGCCTGCAAAAATATGGAATCAGTATTGTTTGCTTTTGTTCAGTCTATGAGCAATCAAGTTTAATGCAGGAATTGATCTTGAACATTTAATGATATTTATAAATCTGTTTACTATGCCCAGCTATTTGTGTTTTTTACCCAACAATTAAGAAAATTTGGAGATATCTTTATTTGACAGAGAAAGATATCTCTATTTGAATACAAACTTCTCAAATCATACCTTCATTTGTAATCTGTCATGAAATTACATGATTAAAAAAAGAGCAGAAAAAGAGGAGAAAAGAAAAGAGAAATAACCCCAAAGAAACAGCGTCGCCGAGAGAGAGAGCAGCTAAAATACATTCAACTTTTAGCAAACCAATATCAAATCGCATGTCCGTCAAGCATCACAGAGATAGAGACCATCCATGGAAGCAATATCTAAAATCAGAAGGAAAAAGTCAGAAACAAGGGGAGTTAACTCCGTCAAAATGACGTCACACTAAATATACACACCTATTGGAAACAGGGGGAGATAATTCAGTCGGTAACACTAAAATTGATAACGTCACACGCAAAAAAACACATGATGAAGTGACGTAGATCTGGGGCCGTAGGTTAAGGGGGTTGCTAAGGCGCCATCTTTGATCCATGTTTTATGCATAAGATTATTAAGGAAAATAAAATTACATAAAGAGAAAAAAAACCAAACAACGTCGACGAGAGAGAAAGAGCAGCTAAAATACATTCAACTTTTAGCAAACCAATATCAAATCGCATGTCCGTCAAGCATCACAGAGATAGAGACCATCCATGGAAGCAATACCTAAAATCAGAAGGTAAAAAGTCAGAAACAAGGGGAGTTAATTCCTAGTCAGCAGTTAGTGGCTAGTATTTTGCCAGGGCGACACTCATATAGGAAAATAGGAAGGAGCTTTATAAGCACGTATGACTACAGTTACGTTCATCAATATTATTTAAGAAGGATAGATGGTCATAGAGAGGCTTGCGGAAGTAGGAAGATGTTCAAAATAGATTTGTCACACAGATGTCGATACCGGACCTAACATTGAACCAAAACAAGCTATCAGCTGGTAACATTCCCATAGCTTATGCTGAAATACATTTCAAGTTTTGTCACAGCAGAATTGTTTATCAACAGTCTTACCGAAATAGAACTTGAGTTCAAATCACAAATACTGACCTCCACGATCATACATTTATGAGTCAATGTACAGTATATAAACCTGATCATAAACTGCATTCTTATCGTAGAATCGTAACCCCTTTTCAGTAGGATTGCTGCGTACGGTTGGCAAACAGGTAAAACAGAAACAAATGTAAGTATAGCTCTTTCGCTTAAGTACTCGAAACCCATATCATACCTGCCTTTCCATAGTATTACATGTAGAAATCTATATCTTAAAACTGCGTACTTAACTCCTCATACACCAGTAACTATAAGTGCATATATACCTTGAAACCATGCCAGTCCTCACTGCAGGGAAAACACTAGAGAATTCCGCTGTTGTTTCTTCCTACATATCCCTACATGTTATTTTAGATATAACTGTTGCTTGATTGGCCATGCTACTGATCTGGTGACAGTATAAGGATCTACGCTTCGACACCTGGTCTGGCGCTGGTGTACTTTCACATTCAGAACATTTTGTATGAGTATTTTCAAAGGTCCCGCAACGTATGCTTTTCTTTACATAAGTTATTTATCAAAGTTAAAGTAAAGCCGATAAAGAGATTTCCAATGAAGAGTTATATATTTTCAGCATGGCGAACTATCCTCTTGTAGTCCTCTTAATGACATTCATATCCTCCACACGAGGTCTAGAGGTAAAACGTATCCACACCAAGCTCGGAGACATCGTGGGAGTAGTTGAACACGTTCGAAACGAGAAAGTATACCAGTTCCGGAATATTCCGTACGCCGAACCACCCACTGGAGCTCTGAGGTTCACCAAACCGGAAGCAAGGCGAGCCTGGCCTGGTACCCTCGACGCAACGCGATTTGGACCATCATGCATGCAGATATTACTGCCCGCGTATAATAAATTCTTGCCAAATTTAAACCAATCAGAGGACTGTTTACTTTTAAATATTTACGTGCCACGTGATATGTCTCAGAGTTCCAACAGATCGGTAATGGTATGGATCCATGGCGGCAGCTACATCTTCGGCCAAGGAATGTTGTATGATGGGTCTTACCTTGCTCTAACTGGTGACGTTGTCGTGGTTACGATCAACTACCGGCTCGGTGTGTTCGGATTCCTCAGCACATCTTCTACGGGAGGATTGCGCGGGAACTATGGACTCTGGGATCAGCACATGGCACTACAGTGGGTGAAGGACAATATAGCAGCTTTTGGGGGAAATCCTAATTCTGTGACAATATTTGGGGAGTCTGCTGGAGGTTTCAGCGTTTCACTCCAAGCAATAATTCCACAAAATCAAGGTCTGTTTCAAAGAGTTATTGCACAGAGCGGAAACGCCGTATCAAGGTTTGCTTACTCTAGTTTGAGTAATATGCATAGCGTCGCAAAGCTTCTTGGTATAAATGTTGGATGCGCAAACGCTTCTGGTATCCCTGCAACATACAAAGGGTGTATGCGTGGAAAATCTGCGCAGGATTTACTTGCGGCACAAAATACAGAGAGTATACTCACTCTTCAGCCTCTCAAATTGGACATCATATTGGGACCGGTCGTCGATTATGATTTGCTTCAGTCATCGCCAGATAACTTACTTAAGAACAAGAGAACTGCAAGTTCTCAATTCTTTCGAAGCCTCGACTTTATGACTGGAAATGTAAATGCAGAAGGTTCGCTTTTCCTGAATGCATTGAAAAGCATATCCAATTACAAGAAATTCAACATGTCTGACGGAATACCAACGGATGTGTTCTGTGGTTACATCGTTCCGGCTTTTGTAAACGCCTACTTCGGCTCTCAAGTAAACAGCACTTTACCGAGTGACCTGATATGCTCCTTGTACGGAACCACGGAGGAAGGCCTAGAAGGGGACAATGCTATAGACGTCTACTCAGATGTGTTTTTCATCGCGCCGGCAATACAATCCCTCATGACACATTCCGAAGACAATGTCCAAACCTCGTCATATCAGTACATATTTAAACGTCCAGCGCCCGGTCCAAAGTTCCAAGCGTATCCGCCGTGGTGGCGAAACGACTCATCAGCTCATGGCTCCGAAGTTGTGTTCTTGTTCGGTCTCGAAGATTATCCAACCAAATTAAACATTAGCGTGAGCCCCACTGATTTGAGCCTGTCAAAAACTATGCTTAAGTATTGGACAAACTTCGCAAAAACAGGGTATGTTGTTTTCTGTTGTAAAAAAAGACAAAGTAATGAGCACATCAAAACCCGTCAAACCCTGGCTCAGCCAAAATAGCAGATTCAAAATATATACAATAGCCCAACATTATATATCATCTTTATTTACATATGATGATAATAGCAGGAACGGGATTGAACTCTTCTGACAACGTCATCGGGGTTCGAGTATCAATCTGTAGTTAGCATAGGTTACTCAAGATCTCTTAATGAAACCTCACTTAACGGTCTTTCAACCCTTATCTAGTATATAAAGGGATTATATGGAAGTTACTTTCTCCACTAGTTGGGAAATGTACGTATGAAGTTTTCATTGATGAAATCATCTTTTCATGTGATTTTCGAAATTTTAGATTTATAAGTTGTATACATTTGTGAGATTTGCATGATACTAATTAATCTTGGTTGGTAGAGTTATACTTACATAAAAAAAAGCCTGCTGACAGTCTTGCAACACCCTGAAAGTGCTAATAACAAAGGTCTTCATGTTTTCCCCAGGAACCCTAACTCTAACGACGTACCAGTGTGGGGTGCCTATGACGTAGTACAACAGAGTTATATAGACCTAAATACAACGATCACATCAGGTCGACATCTGTACGGAGAATGGATCAATCTATGGTTAGAACGACTACCAAAACTATTCGATACCTCAAACCCCGGCGGTGCCATTGGGAAATAGTATCTTCATTCATTGTTACTTACTCTTAAATAAAACACTGGCATTAAAGAATGTACAAATATATATGTTTCTTATTTGTCGACGTTTAAAAAAGGAGAAGGGAACAAAGCAAACATCTTGTTTGAAAATATATCAACGAACAATATTGTTTGTATATAAAGTTTCGATTTGCTTGCAAAATATTTGGTTGATCGAGATTTCATGATGGCTGAAGGAGGACCTAAATAGTATTTTACAATCTACGAGATAAAGAGAAATAAGACCATTATAATATAATGAGCTGGATATATGGAAGTAGGTCAGATGTCCATAAATATCATAGAAATGGAGCTCCAGTTAGAGACGCAAAACAGCAACTCTAAAATAGGGAAATCCCAGTAGATAGAGAAAATAGGACAGAGACTGATAAAGGAGACCGAATGAGGAAAGTAAAAAGCACCTAGACATAGAGAAGAATGACAGATGGTAAATATGGACGTAGAAAGGAAATCCGGACAGAGAAATATGGCGGAAGAGCAAACAAAGGGAGTTTGAAAGAAGATGAAGGAAAATACAAAGGAGCTATATAAGGAAGTAAGACGGACAGAGACGTGTATACTACATGGCTTAATATGTCTCTGCCCCGGTTTCAGCCTTAATGTTGTTTGGGATATTCCGTCAATTTGTGTGTCAGTTTTTATTGCAGGCTCCCTTAATTTAATTTCCAATTTAGTTTTATTAACTTCATTTCTGAAGCCTAGCCGATTAAATCCTGGTCAGCTTTTACCCATAAACTAGTTATTGGTTAGTTGAAATGTGAACTCTGGAGACATACAAATAAAAAAATAAGTACAAAGACCTGAAACACCACATTCAGAGAAAGCTCATCATCAACACAGAAAAGACAACAAATGAAAACAACTTGACCAGTAAAAAAGTTCTGGTCATATATAAAATCCAGACGATCAGACCATAGTGGAAAATCTCCCCTGAAAAGGGACGGTTAGCTAGTGCAAAACCCTACCAGCAAGGTCCGGTTGTACCGGTCGGACCACAGTTGTTCGTTTATTAAATACGGTCGGACCTAGCAATCTGATGCTGCTTTCGGACAAGCATTGACAAAGCCTTGCAATGCCTGCATAAACATTTGCAGGTCCGCCAGGTTTTATACCCGAAAATTTTACAATTAAAAAACAAACAGGCCCTAGGTACTAAACGCACAATTCCAATCTGCATTTACTCCCTCTGAAATCTTCACTGACCAGCAGCTTCAAACCAGGTTTAACATGCTCAAGATTCATATACTACCATGCCTGAAATTGTTATCCATGAAAGAGGTGTCGTAAAACTCCTCCAAGGCCTAAATCCATACAAGGCATCAGGCACTGATCATGGCGACATCAAACCTAGGGTCCCGAAAGAGCTCGCAACAGATCATAGAAATAGCCCTGATCTTAACTCTGATATTCAAACAGTCATTGGTAAAGTCACTCTGGATTGGAAATTTGCCAATGTGTCACCTGTATATAAAAAAGTTCAAAATCCAATCAAAAAAACTATTGGCCAATATCTCTAACCTGTATTTGTAGCAAAATAATGGAACATATAGTGATCTCCAATACCATCGACGCATGCACGATACCATGTTTTATGATATTGTCAATATTAAAGTTGCTGTTGCAAAATCTGACAGACTTATTCCCCCTTGTCAGAAAATCCAGGGATGGAAACGAGCTCCCTTTCCAAATTCCTTTCTCCAAAACTCTGTCTAGAAAAGAAACTTTCTTCCCTCGAACTGTATCCGAGTGGAATAAACTCCCTCCTGATACTGTATCTAGATCTAGACTGGCAACAAATTCTTTTAAATTAAGCCTCTACCGTCACTTTGCAAAAACAAACTAAAGTCCTCCTGTCAACACCTTTCCTCTTCCCATCTAAACCCTCCTCTGACATTAATCTTCAAATTGTTGAAGCTGGTCAGTACCCTGTAGAAGAAAAAGTAGAAGAACTAAATTAATAAGCCTGACGCATTCATTCATCTATAGATCTATATTATTATTTAATTTATTTATCACGAAACGATAATAACTGATAATTTTATTAAAACAAAATTCCAAAATATTGATAAATAAATTCTCACCACTTACGATGCCGTGCCATAGATTAGAATTGATTGAGGTTTGACATGCGAAGTAGTTTTTATATATCCTAAAAACGACCGATGAAACAGATCGGATCGATCTCCTAAAGGTAAGCAACGCACTTGTATTTCCTAATCATTTGTGCGCTTGTATGAAATGGAAACCAGAATAACGTACTATCAAGCGCCTTAGCAACGTGCTTTGTTTAAATATGGTTGCCTGTTACATCCTGTACACATAGCATACCTGAAACGTCATGTCGCGTAAAAACGACCGATCGAAGAAGAACGAAACTGCAGAAAAGGTAAGACCTGTTTTTAAAGCTTCCTACATTTTGATTTAAAAACAAACAGCTTTGGTGTATATAAACGATACAAGAATGTGTATAACAAATTGAGCGGCCCGAATAAGGAACTGAAAAGTAGGACATTCTGCAAATACCTTCGTGGAATTTGTTTTTGAGTCCTAATATATATCGGCTGAATTGGTTGAAATCAGTTAGGAATATTATTCAATAGTATTAATATATAGAATAAACATTTATAAATAGTATCATACTGTTAGCTAGTCCGAATTATTCTGACGTTTTATCGACTTTTTTATATCGGTCTGTCGTCGATAAACTGTACAGCCCGCGTTAAAACGTTTCATCAGGCCCTGACACCAGATTTTGACATTTTGACAGAGATGTCTGGTGTGACATCTATCTCTCAAAATGTCTAAGACTGATAGTCCAGAGTAAACACGGGCTACATGCTATAGCACCATATCATTTCTTAATTCCAAAACCATTGGTTCCTTGCCCTGAATTGTAGAACCAGGATGATGAATATTATGCAAATACATGACAGCATTTTCATGAAATAAAATTAGACCAGGGCCCAGTTGTTCAAAAGGTGATAAGCTTAATCAGTGATTAGATTTTTTTTGATTTTTTTTTGTGTAACTTACAAACACAACGGCTGAATAATGTCATTATACAGTGGTTAAGCTAACTGCCTTTTGAACGATTGGACCAAGCTAGTTGTATGACGAGCCATGATCAATATAAATGCCCATGGACATTTCTGCTGACAGAAAGCTTAAATATTTTACATAAATATTTTACATGCTTTTTCAACTGATCCCATTTAGCTTTTGTTGTCAAATACTTTGTATTTTTGCTAACTTTATCCAACCATATCATTCACATTCAACTCTCCAATGCTCTGGTCATCTTTTTGACAATAGTATAATCAATAGGGGATATAAAAAAATGTCATTTTCTGGGTAATTAATTCATCTATGGAACATGGGGCTAGACTTGTAAGCCGAATCTACATATTTATTCAATTTATTTTGTCATATGTGTCATCAAGTATATTGGTATTGAATTTGAAACAGGTGAAGGAGATACAAATGCGACAGAAAAACTGGTTTAAACAACGTGAGGAACACTTAGAAAGAAAAGGAAGCTCTCCCCAAATAAAAGACTTACCTGACAACAGTAAGTTTGAGATAGAACTTTTTACTGTAGCATGTTAGCGAATAAAATATTAAAATAATTCCAAATTTTATTTGAGAGAACCATGAGATTAAGATGAACTGATCATGGACACAATTTTTTCCTTTAACTTATGTTTTATTTTTCAATGGTACTTTTCATATCCTTCAGATTTATGAATTATTGAATATATTTGCTAAAAACTTATGAACAGGTATTAATATGTATTTCAAATTTTGATCATGCCATTGACTCTGATTGTTAATAAAAACTGTATTAAACCAGTGATACTATTTATAAATAACAAATAAATATAGTGTGTAGTGTTGTATATACTTTGTTTCTCAGATTTTGCATGTAGGTCACTTAAAATAAGATAGTATGGATTCTGTACTATAATGCCTAATATATTGCAGAAACATCCAAGAAGTTGGATTACAATGTCTCAACTAAAAGTAAAAGTGGATTAGGAAAATTTGATCTGCAAGATGAACCAAGAAGTGTTGAAAAAACTAAAGCTGCTAATATAGGTAAAGTACAGCCGAAAGGGAAGTTTAAACACTGGTTGGAAGCCAGGGAGTCACAGAAAGGAAAGGAAGATGACCAGTGGAACAAGGACAGAGATTCAGTTAATATTCTAAGAGTGTCCAGTTCCAGAAGTCCTGAATTTGCAAGTCCAGAGTCTGACCATTTTGATGACCACAGGACAGCTGGTGGGTCCTACAGAGAAGAACCTTACAGAACGCTCAGTGAGAGAACGGGGAGGGATGCCATGAATACCTTGATGTCCCACCAGGATTTTGACGCTCTGGCAGATAGTATTGTAGCTAGGGTCAGACAAGGTGTCAACACTGACAGTCGTTCTGGACTGGAAACACAGCAACTCTGGTCACAGGATGTACCCAGTAAATCACATGCACGCTCTTCAGAGGTCGGCAGGGGTCAGAAAGGTCACACAGATTCCAAAACCAGAGATCGCAAAGGTCAGAAAGAAGTGGATACATCCAGTCATCACTGTCCTTGTTGTCATCGTCTAATGGTAAATAAGCACAAGTATTTATGTGTTTGATAAACACAAAGGGTCTAATACTGTATAACATGAAATGGTTGTGGATACTTTCCTTCGTGGTTTGACGCCATTTAGATTCACGTTTCGTGGTACAAACTTTCGTGGATATCCTATATCAACAAACAGTAGACACCTGTACCATTAAAATTCGTTGTATTTATGTTTGTGGTTCCATAGCAACCACGAAAACCACGAATGTGTATACACAACAAACATTTCTTGTTATAGAGTACATAATAAGTTCACAAAAAGTATAAAATATTTCCAAGTTGGGTGTGTTTTGCATATAAGTAGGACTCTATATTTGGTGTACATGATTAAAGATTCAGCTCATAATTGAACTAATTTTGAAAAATACAAATGTAGCGTCAAGTTAGAACTTTAGGGGGGGGGGGGGATTCCGGTTTTAGTAGCCTTAAATAACATGAATTTATCTCAAAAGATTTGCAGTACCTACATTTAATATACTTTCACTGCAGTTTAAGTTATATGTTTGTTCTTAACCCATTTCACCACTGTAGACCATAATGGACTCATCCATATCAATGCATGGTAGAGTCTACTGAAGTTACATAGGGGTGAAAGGGTTAACTGTAAAAACATTAAATAATTCTATGCCATTTTTTTTTTTTGGAAAAAATGGATCAAAGTTTGTCTTCATCAGAAAACATCCAGATGAATCCATAACCTATCACAGATTTTATTTATGTTTTATTTAATGGTGTCTCTGTAAAACAAAAAATCCTACTACCACTTACAACAATTTATTAGGTTGTGATTATCAATTGAGGGAAAATAGAGAAAGAAATCTCAAAAATAGCAGAATTGAAAACATACAGAATTATCTAAGAGTGTTGCTCTAGTGATGAAAACATTCATTTAATATAGATATAGTTAATCATACATTTCTTAAACTTTTCTTTCAATTATTTAGTGAAAAAGTTAAAAGTTATTAGAGGTTGAACATTTTTTTTTATGTGGCCTAATCAGAAAAATCAGAACCTGGTTCTGATTTTTCTGATTAGGCCACATAAAAAAATGTTGTGTTTTCGCTAACACTACCTACACCAGATTGTTGTGCATACCCTAAACATTTTATTGGCATTCAGTGATATGCACTGTGAACTTAACTTTGTATTTCCTAATCATTTCCCAGCACCAGTTTTGATCATCTGCTACTTATTGATTCGAACTAGTTTTGCATACAAAGTATATGTTCCATAATCCTTTTTAAATTTTATCTTGATACTTTATGATACATGTACATACAAGCACAGGCAGTTTCTATTAAGGTTGTTTGTGTTTCCTAACAGCTGCCACCGAGCAATGTACCCCTCATCAACATACCATGTGGTCACAGTGTGTGCGAGACGTGTTGTCAGGGGACAGAACTCTGTCCGTCATGTCACTGTCATGTGACCTCAAAGACATGTAACTTGATGCTGCTACAGATCATTCAGGGATATCACAACAACGCGTCCAGAAGAAAGGAAGTTAATCGTGAAACTAAGTCATACAGTCCTGAAAATTACAACGAAAAGCATTCTTGTAAGTATACTGAATTTGAAGTATGCCATTCTATTAATTTTTTCACCCCTGAAGACACATTTGAACTCTTCCAATTTTAAGGTTGGAATAGTTCATTATGATATTTCAGGGGTGAATGAGTTTATATCTTTTAATGTGTATTAGGGATTGAAATGCATCTTTTTATTGCCTGCCAAAAGTGGAGTATATCATGATAGAAAGTTGTGTGTCCGTTCTTCCCTCTTATTTTATTTTATACCTATTCGTTGTTCCATCTGTCTGATTACATTACATAGTGACCGGGACTTTTTTTAAGTTTCACAATTTTTTGTTCGATTCTTTTAAGGTTTGTTATATTTGATAAGAATCATGTAAAAATGTGTAAGTCGTAAAATAGTTGTTGCATTAAATTTTACGAAAGTTATGGTCTTTTTTTAATCCGACAATACATGTCAACCTTGTGAATACATTTACAACAGTGTACTGTGCAGTACTACATTTTCCCACCAAGTCATCTGATAAAAATAGTCTGTGTAGTGAGCATCATATGAATATATATATAAAGATAATTATAATGGGACGCTGCATTAAATTTTTATAACAATTCTTAAGCTTTAAATATTACATGGTTTAATATGGGCAAAGGGAGGCAATCCCTGTAAAGATTTGTATTTTTAAATACAAAAATGTTTCTGCAACGTCTAAGCTATAAATAAATAAGTTGATAATAGTAAGATCAGTTAAGAACCGGGATACTATATATTAGATTGAAAGGACAGTGTTATCTAATAAGGAATTATTCACTCAATTTTGATGTTATATATTGAACACAACAGTAAAATCTTTGATAGGTTAGTTTTCAGGTACCATATAATTACATCCGTTTTACATATACATGTTGATAACATGCAATTATTATTACTATCTTTGAATTTAAGTCCTCTTTAATTTTGTACTCTGATTCCATAGCGAGTTCACAGTCATACAGGGAACAGCATGAGAACTTGATTGCGCGCCAGGATGTGTTGCTAGCCGAGGCGGACTCCATTAAAAGTACCATGGATACGCTGTCCAATCAGATCCACCGACAACAGCGTCAGGTACACAGCATCGCACAGGAGGAGACCAAGCTACGGAAGCAGATGAAAGAACTGGAGGACAAGCTACAGCAGCTGACATCTCATAGAGAAGGGTACTCCAAAGAACAGGACCAACTACAGCACAAGTACAACACCGAAGCCAACAGACTCAACCTGATAAAGGAAACGCTCCTGTCCCTGGAGATAGAGGTGGAGAAGGTTAGTATCCTCACACTGTAGGTACTGTATACTGAATGTAGAATATCAATTACCAATTTACGCTCTCTAGTTAAATATACCAGTGTGGCAGATTTTAATTGTGTATATAGGGTTGCAGTTGCCTTCTAGACGGAATTTCCTTTTAGCTCAGTGGTAAGAACATCAAACTAGGAAGTCTTCTCTATTTCCTGTTACATAAGTGTACTACACTGAACGTCTTTATCATATACTTGTCCCGGAATAGGGTTGTTTTGCATGTGTGATAGTGTTAGCTTTGTATAGGCTATATCCCAGACCAACCCACATCTGCCTGGCACACGCCATATCCTCCGCCTGGCACACGCCATATCCGCCTGGCACACGCCATACATGAATCTGTTTAACTTCCCGTTAAACACTTTTCGGGGGGAAAAAATCACACCTCAAACTGGTAGCATACACTGTCTGTATATGTGCTTTTCAGTTCATTGCATTTTATTTAAGGTAGAATGTGATTATAGTTAATTAAGCTCATGAAATATAAATTTTCTATGTGTTTTATGTGTTATTGCTTATAAAAAGTTTACCATATGACCATTTCCATTGTCTATTCCGTATCAGCACTCAACCCATATCAGCCCTTGGGCTGCTGCCCCTAGGCTGATATAGCCAATACGGAGCAAGATATGGAAACCATCTTTTGATAATGCCACAGATATGAGTTTTTATGCAGACAAATACAAACGTACATTCACAAGAATGTGTAATACACATAATTAATGAAATTTATGAGTGCTATCTGCGATTTCAGATAAAGACATATCAAGTGTTTATCTTTTATGTCAATTATGACATACCAACAACTATTCTTTAATAATATCAAACATTAAAACCTCTTTATACTGCCACCATTAGTCCACAGAAATTTTGACATTTTAAAGGGGTTTGGTAATGAATTGAGGGAAATGTATAAAGGAATTCTTAAAGACACGAGAAAAAGGGACTTTGAAATACATTGGCAATAAACAAGGTGGCAATGAAATGAGGGGCATTATAAATACCCAGTAACAGGAAATATAGTCAGGATTTTCCCATGATATCATAATCAAATGACCCAGAACATAAGCGTTTGAGGCACCATGTATTATAGTTCTGTCAATTCATTAACAAGTTTGTCCTTTGCTATTGTAATACAATATTTTCTATGTAAATGTTTAATGCAATTTTTTGTCATGTCTTGGACAGGTCCAGCTGCTGGCAGAGGTCAGATGATAAGTAGATTTTATTCCTGAAGATCCATCCCCGATATCGAAGATAATAAGGAAACAATATCGCTGATTATCCGGCCTGGATACCAGAGCTGATAAGGGGACAATATCCCTGATTATCAGGTCTGGATACTAGGGTATTAGGGAGACAATTTCCCTGATGATAGAGTCTGGTTACTGGAGATGATAGGGAAATGATATCCCTGATGCTCTGGCCTAGTTACTGGAGATAATAGGGAAATGATATCCTGATGATCTGGCCTAGTTACTGGAGATAATAGGGAAATGATATCCCTGATGATCTGGCCTAGTTACTGGAGATATTAGGAAGACAATATCCCTGATGATCAAGCCTGGATACCAGAGTATTAGGGAGACAGTTTCCCTGATGATAGAGTCTGGTTACTGGAGATAAAAGGGAAATGATATCCCTGATGATCCGGCCTAGTTACTGGAGATATTATAGGAAGACAACACCCTGATGATTTACCAGTGATAACAAAAGTGACCCTGATAGTGTAGATACCATATAGTGTTCATGACAACCAGTGTCCACCCCGGATAAAACCCAGTGAACTAGAACACAAACTCATAACTTATATCATGTATTTATGGTTCCCTGAACAGCATTATTCTGTGATATGTTGAATTTATTTGTTATTTAAAAAAATAAGTGCCTGTTGATCGGGAATGAATTTTACAAAGAATTATTTAAAGGAGATGAGGAGTCGGGACATGGGTCAAAAAGGGCTCTTTAATCATTTATAGAATCTTAGTTGTAGTAATTTCTGAATATAAACTTTTTTCATGTTTGTTAAAAAGATTTATTTAGCTGAACTTTTCAATAAGTAGTTTCATTGAAATATGCCTGATTTCCTCCTCATTTCTGCACTGTATACATTCTATATGGAATGAAAAGCTTCTACTAAATCACTATTTTCAATAAGCTGAAAATAAAAAGTTTTAGCTTACAGTATACCATATGTGTTTGTTATTCATTTCATCAGAGTTATGAACTACACAAAAATAACGTACACTATATAATTGCACTCATATTTCTGTATATGAACGACACAGGTCATGACTTAAAACTACAGTTATCATTCCTGAGAATGAAGAACTACACTGATTTTATATTTAGCTATTGTTATTAATTAGCACTTTCAAATTAAACTTTAAATGCAAGTTATCGCCAAAATAAATGTGTTTATGGATTAAAATCTGGGTTGCTTCATTAAGTAAAATTCACAAAATAAGTGTTGATTGGACACAGAAGATTAATGATTGCTGTTTAATGAGACTTCATGGACAGTTGGACACTAGATTATTGGTGGCTGTAAAGTGGGATACTGGATCAGCGATGGCTGGAGAGTGAGACACTATCATTGGTGGCTTGAGAGTGGCACACGAGATCAGCTGTGACTGGAGTGTGGGACACTGGATTGTTGGTGGCTGGGGAGTGGGACACTAGATTATTGGTGGCTGTAAAGCGGGACACCAGATCAGCGATGGCTGGAGAATGAGACACTTTTATTGGTGGCTTGAGAGTGGGTCACCAAGTCAGCTGTGGCTTGGAGTGGGACACTGGATCAGTGGTGGCTGGAGAGTAGGACACTGGATCAGTGGTGGCTTGGCGTGGGACACTGGATAAGTGGTGGCTGGAGAGTGGGACACTGGATAGGTGGTGGCTTGGAGTGGGACACTGGATCAGTGGTGGCTGGAGAGTGGGACACTGAATAAGTGGTGGCTTGGGAGTGGGACACTGGATCAGTGGTGGCTGGGGGGGGGGACACTTGATCAGTGGTGGCTGGGGGGTGGGACACTTGATCAGTGGTGGCTGGGGAGTGGGACACTTGATCAGTGGTGGCTGGGGAGTGGGACACTGGAACAGTGGTGGCTGGAGAGTGGGACACTGAATAAGTGGTGGCTTGGGAGTGGGACACTGGATCAGTGGTGGCTGGAGAGTGGGACACTGGATCAATGGTGGCTTGGAGTGGGACACTGGATCAATGGTGGCAGGGGAGTGAGACACTGGATCAATGATGGCTGGAGAGTGGGACACTGGGCCAGTCTTGGCTTGACAGTGAAACACTGGATCAGTGGTGGCTGGGGAGGGGGACACTTGATCAGTGGTGGCTGGGGGGTGGGACACTGGATCAGTGATGGCTGGGGAGTGGGACACTGGATCAATGGTGGCTGGGGAGTGGGATACTAGATCAGTGGTGGCTGGGGAGTGGGACACTGGATCAGTGGTGGTTGGGGAGTGGGATACTGGATCAGTGGTGGTTGGGGAGTGGGACACTGGATCAATGGTGGTTGGGGAGTGGGATACTAGATCAGTGGTGGTTTGGGAGTGGGACACTGGAACAGTGGTGGCTGGTGAGTGGGACACTGGATCAGTGATGGCTGGAGAGTGGGACACTGGATCAGTGGTGGCTGGGGAGTGGGACACTGGATCAGTGATGGCTGGAAAGTGGGACACTGGATCAACGGTGGCAGAGGAGTGAGACACTGGATCAAAGATGGCTGGAGAGTGGGACACTGGGCCAGTCTTGGCTTGACAGTGGGACACTGGATCAGTGGTGGCTGGAGAGTGGGACACTGGGCCAGTCTTGGTTTGACAGTGAGACACTGGATCAGTGGTGGCTGGAGAGTGGGACACTCGGCCAGTCTTGGCTTGACAGTGGGATACTGGATCAGTGGTGGTTGGGGAGTAGGACACTGGATCAGTGATGGCTGGAGAGTGGGACACTGGATCAATGGTGGCAGGGGAGTGAGATACTGGATCAGTGGTGGTTGGGGAGTGGGATACTGGATCAGTGGTGGTTGGGGAGTTAGACACTGGATCAGTGGTGGCTGGAGAGTGGAACACTGGGCCAGTCTTGGCTTGACAGTGAGACACTGGATCAGTGCTGGCTGGGGAGTGGGACACTGGATCAGTGATAGCTGGGGAGTGGGGCACTGGATCAGTGATGACTGGAGAGTGGGACACTGGATTATTGGTGTCTTGACAGGAACACTGGATCAGTGGTGGCTGGAGAGTGGAACACTGGGCCAGTCTTGGCTTGACAGTGAGACACTGGATCAGTGCTGGCTGGGGAGTGGGACACTGGAACAGTGGTGGCTGGGGAGTGGAACACTGGATCAGTGATAGCTGGGGAGTGGGGCACTGGATCAGTGATGGCTGGAGAGTGGGACACTGGATTATTGGTGTCTTGACAGGAACACTGGATCAGTGGTAGCTGGGGAGTGGGACACTGAATTATGTATAGTTGGAGAGTGGGACACTGGATCGGTTGTGACTGTAGAGTGGGACTGTGGATTTATGGTGGCTGTAGAGTGGGACTGGATTGATGGTGGCTGTAGAGTGGGACTGTGAATTGATGGCTGTAGAGTGGGACTGTGGATTGATGGTAGCTGTAAAGTAGGATTGTGGATTGATGGTGGCTGTAGAGTGGGATTTTGGATTGATGATGGCTGTAGAGTGGGACTGTGGATTGGTGGTGGCTGTAGAGTGGGACTGTGGATTGATAGTGGCTGTAGAGTGGGACTGGATTGATGGTGGCTGTAGAGTGGGATTGTGGATTTATGGTGGCTGTAGAGTGGGACTGGATTGATGGTGGCTGTAGAGTGGGACTGTGAATTGATGGCTGTAGAGTGGGACTGTGGATTGATGGTAGCTGTAGAGTAGGATTGTGGATTGATGGTGGCTGTAGAGTGGGATTGTGGATTGATGGTGGCTGTAGAGTGGGACTGTGGATTGATGGTGGATGTAGAGTGGGACTGTGGATTTATGGTGGCTGTAGAGTGGGACTGGATTGATGGAGGCTGTAGAGTGGGACTGTGAATTGATGGCTGTAGAGTGGGACTGTGGATTGATGGTAGCTGTAGAGTAGGATTGTGGATTGATGCTGGCTGTAGAGTGGGACTGTGGATTTATGGTGGCTTGACAGAGAGACATTATGCTTGTGGGGACAGATTAATAAGGTTCATCAATATAGGAAGCATCAGCTACCTGTACCTACTGAAGTGATTATTTTATCATATTGTATTAAAAGTGTTGAATTAGTTTACATGATAATATCAGTGCCAATAATAACATTAGTAACAACAGGGGTTGGAGACCCAACGTCCCTGCAAGGAAGTCAGTTCCATAATGGCGGTAGGGGTCCTGGGGTGGATAACTTAATGGTATTCAACAGTGCTCATCAGGGAAAGCAGAGCAAATGAAAAAAGAAATGATGAGCAACAACACCACTGAATCAGGTACAAAATGTAATGTAGGATGTACATCCTAAAGGCCGAAACATGTCAGCACTTCGGATGTAAATCATACATTACATTTTGTACCGGATTCAGTGGTGGTGTTGCTCATCATTTCTATTTTCAAGGTTCCATTTAATATAATTTACACTAAAGATAGATCTGCATTTAATACATGTACTTTGAAATAAAAAAAGGCACGTGGCTAGCTAATTGATTGATTGGCTAAACAACCTGACCAATTGCTAGGCTGATACCTGTCCTTTGAGGATTACAAGGAAGGGACACTCGACTTCAAAGCCAGTTAATTTCACTGTATAAAAAAATATTCAAACTGATCTTCCTGTTTCATCCATAAGGTGGCACACACCGAGTCTTCGGTTTTGTTTTGACATATATATATGATATTCCAGGGGTGCAGAAAGCCAAAGTAAGTGTATCCCCAGGGTATCGAGGATGTCATGTCTCTGAATTAAGTAGACAGTGTATCTGTTTACATATCTCCAAAGACTGGAACAATATTTCCACAAATTCATGTCACCACATACATTTGTATAGTTCCTTTTTTCAGAAATCCAAGAAAGTTTAACACAACAAAAATAAAAGAATTCCCAGCCACTTTACATCTTTATTTATGTAAACCGACATCTTCATCCACCAATCAATTATCACAACTAAGTAAAATTACTAAAATATTCAACTGGACGGTTCCGAGTACACAATTGTGATATAAACAAAATTATAAATAATTTTGTATCATGTATATGTTATTTCAAACACTTTGGCATCTTTCATGGAATTACATTAGTTTTTTTTTAATCAGTGAATGTTAGTGATAAGGGTCCTATGACCAAAGTGCTACACAGTGAAATAACATGTCATACGAATAATTAAAAGGCATGAATACAAATGGCGTCATCACTGATTATATGTAGATTACCAGATGTAAGTCTGTATATGTACATGTTACCATGTTGTACCAGTTGGGGCTAATGTTGGATATATTTTCACCGACTCATGGTCAACATTCACCAATAAAATCCAACTGGTCTGGACCCAACTGATAACAGACTACATCATGACAACTGGGCGGGATCCAGCTGATAACAGACTACACCATGTCAACTGGTCTGGACCCCACTGATAACAGACTACATCATGTCAACTGGTCTGGACCCAACTGATAACAGACTACATCATGACAACTGGTCTGGATCCAACTGATAACAGACTACACCATGTCAACTGGTCTGGACCCAACTGATAACAGACTACATCATGTCAACTGGTCTGGACGCAACTGATAACAGACTACATCATGACAACTGGTCTGGACCCAACTGATAATAGACTACATCATGACAACTGGTCTGGACCCAACTTATTACAGACTACATAATGACAACTGGTCTGGACCCATCTGATAACAGACTACATCATGACAACTGGTCTGGACCCAACGGATAACAGACTACATTAAGACAACTGGTCTGGATCCAAATGATAACAGACTACATAATGACAACGGGTCTGGACCCATCTGATAACAGTCTACATCACGACAACTGGGCTGGACCCAACTGAAAACAGAATTTATCATGACAACTTGTCTGGCCCCAACTGAAAACAGAATTTATCATGACAACTGATATGGACCCAACTGATAATAGACTACATCATGACAACTGGTCTGGACCCAACTGAAAACAGAGTTTATCATGACAACTGGTCTGGACCCAACTGATAACAGACTACATCAAGACAACTGGTCTGGATCCAACTGATAACAGACTACATCATGTCAACTGGTCTGGACCCAACTGATAACAGACTCCATCATGTCAACTGGTCTGGACCCAACTGATAACAGATTACATCATGACAACTGGTATGGACCCAACTGATAATAGACTACATCATGACAACTGGTCTGGACCCAACTGATTACAGACTACATATTGACAACCGGTCTGGACCCAACTGATAACAGACTACATCATGACAACTGGTCTGGCCCCAACTGATAACAGACTACATCATGACAACTGGTCTGGACCCAAATGATAACAGATTACATCATGACAACTGGTCTGGACCCAAATGATAACAGACTATATCATGACAACTGGTCTGGACCCAACTGATAACAGATTACATCATGACAACTGGTCTGACCCAAATGATAACAGACTATATCATGACAACTGCTCTGGACCCAACTGATAACAGACTTTATCATGACAACTGGTCTGGACCCAACTGATAACAGACTACATCACGACAACTTGTCTGGACCCAACTGATAACAGATTACATCATGACAACTGGTCTGGACCCAACTGAAAACAGAATTTATCATGACAACTGGTCTGGACCCAACTGATAACAGACTACATCATGACAACTGGTCTGGACCCAACTGATAACAGACCACATCATGTCAACTGGTCTGGACCCAATGGATTACAGACTACATCATAACAACTGGTCTGGACCCAACCGATAATAGATTACATCATGACAACTGGTTTGGACCCAACTGATCACAGACTACATCATGCAGAGAGGTACATCACTTATACCCTAACTGGTACATGTACATCATATGATAACTTGGGCACTTAACTACCAAATTTGACTTATATAACATGTAATGTGATGGGTTAACCATATAACTGAACTATGACCACAGTGTAACTTGTTGTAAAATGTCAACAACACAATCCTGTTCTAATGATACAAAGAACACAAGACCTTAATGAAATTGATTACTGTATATATCGTAAGTTTCACTTTGTCACATTTGTCAGAAGTGATTTGTACACAGTATAATCAGAGAGATTAAAACACCTGACAACACCAACAGTGAAGGCCATCACTGAAAATATGGTACATGTTAATCTCATGAATATATAAAACTCCTGTAAAAGTCCTTTTGTTATTTTTTTTTTATCCTGACCGCTAATTGTATTTTCTCACAAATTCATTATATAAACATACTTCAATCATTAAACTTTGTGAACAATTGTCAGCACCAGGTTCAATATTGGCAAAATTGATTTGTAAATATACTATTTTAAAGTCAAACATCTAACACAGGTAAAAACAGATCACTTTGTCTTTATATTTAGTTTGACAATATATTCCACCTAAAACTGTATAGTTGTTCAATTTCGCGGGTCGAATATTTTGCAGTCGTCTTGATCAGAACTTGTTTGCGCCCGGATCAAATTTTGGATAGGTTAAAATATCGCGTTCATTAGGGACCTTTTCTATTTGGGTGATGGGACTTATTTTACAAGTGTTTTGTGAAAATAAAGTAAAATGTGATATTAACCCTTTCACCCCTATGTAACTTCAGTAAACTCTACCATGCATTGATCTGGTTGAGTCCACTGTGGTCTACAGTGGTGAAAGGGTTAAATTGTTGCTTTATCTTCATTACTAATGGCAGAAAACAGGTAAACAGATTTTATTTTTATGTCTGTAAATACATATTCACGGAGATTATAATTCACAGTTCATGAATATTTGCTTGGTATTTCATTTTGCACTATCTTAAGTATAACCATGAATATAGCGAAAATAAATCCCCCACAAATATTACCATCTATATACAGTATTGGATTTAATCTTTGCGAGATGAATATGTGAGTTTTAGTACATTATCAAATTGGACAAAGGTAAATGTACCAAACAATAGTTATCTTAATTGATCATTAATAACAGTCTGTAAATACTTACAGTATGGTAATTTACTTTGGAATGTCATAAAAAAATGTTACATTAAAAGTGTAGCATGAGGGAATGTAAATATTATATACATACAGTAGAAAAGTGCAATTTCCCTCATCAGTACTTTTAAAACCTGGAAAACTCACTTAATTTCTAAATTCAGGAACAAAAACATTTAAAAGTGATAATTCAGTAAAAAAATAGTTATTCTGAACTTTAACTTTTCCTAAACTTGATATTTCCATCAGTACAATATTATGATTATAAGTTATTATACATACATAGTTCCTACTTGATTTAACATTAATTGATATAAGCTGCAATTAATGCTGGAATGTCCTTAGGCACAGTTCTGATAAATACGACTTTACACGAAGCAATAAATTCTATTTAAATATGTAACATATTAAATACTGATAGTATCTCTGAAAACATGGAAGCGGCAGCTTATATAAATGCATGTATTTGTTGAAGCCATTTAAAATAACACATGTATATATATACATCGTGTGTATATATATATAATATATATAAGAAGCACTTCAATCCTGATTATAATAAAATGTACAGAATATATATATATACCTCTATATTGAAACTTGCTTTGTTAATAATATAAATTCTTCCATTAAGGCTCGTAATATCAGCAGTCTCTACATATTTAAATAACTATATATGATATACAATGTATAACTATAGATATGATAAATAACTATAGATATGATAAATAACTATAGCTATGATACATAACTATAGATATGATATATAACTATAGATATGATAAATAACTATAGATAATGATAAATAACTATATATGATAAATAACTATAGATATGATAAATAACTATAGATATAATAAATAACTATAGATATGATAAATAACTATATATGATAGGTAACTACATCTATATATATTATGTATGCTGTCATTAACAATTGCACTAATGTTTCAGTAACAAAAAGTCTGTTCAAGTGGGGCAAGGGATTCCATTACTGTATATATATTTCAACGATAATTAGAAATAGTTCCAGTACCTCATTTCCTTCCTGGTCCCCTGTTAACCCCATTCTAAGGATTAGGTCCCCTGTTAACCCCATTCTAAGGATTAGGTCCCCTGTTAACCCCATTCTAAGGATTAGTTCCCCTGTTCAACCCCTTTTCTCAGAATTAGGCCCCTTTTTGAGTATAAAAGTCCATGTTACCAACTTTTTAAGGATCCCTCCTCCCTACAACTACCTACCTCCTTTCTTCAAAGGACTAGCCCCTCCCAAGAAGCTTACTTTTAGTTGGTTCAAACATTTTGTATTACAAAAAGAAATTAATTGATCAAACAAAATACTTCATTTACATTCACAACGAAGAATAGTTGGTAATGCTGTAGATATTGTATATATTTTCTCAACAAAGAAAGTTCACCTTTTTTTTATATATATTTTTTGATTCAGGGTTAAATGCCTTCATAAAATTAAAGGTCATTTCTTAACTGATGTTGCGAGGACATCACAGACCCCCCCCCCCCCCCCCCCCCAAAAAAAAAAAAAAAAAATTTTTTTTTTTATAGAAAACTATAGTATATGTACTGATATTCCCCACTCAATAACAGGTATTTTGTAGTGTTGTATTTCTTGAAGTTCAAATAATACTGTGAATGTGTTATGAAATTAGGCTAGACGTGATGAAACTTGGAGCGGAAAAACACCTGTGTATGAGTTTACACAGTACATGTACAAGCTATAATCAAAGTTCTTATACTCTCCTTAACTATCTATAATAAGTACAATTCAATGGTGTGATCTCTTCCAATGCTACGAATCATTACAAACGAGGGTTGTCCTCCTGGAATATTTGGTATTATGTTATAAGAGTTGTCTGCCCCTTGATCATCGTCATCCTGTTAGGTTTCGCAGCTTTTCGTTGATGTCTCGTTCTCTCTGTAGCAAGGCATTGGTATGCTTCTTATAGGCCTCGAATTCCTGTTAAAATAATTAATAGTCCATAAAATTATTTATGTAATCATTCGTTAATTTTCAAATTGTATAAAGGTTCAATGGTTTAATACCCGTAATCTGTAAGTCAAACTTACACTCTGTCTCTCCTTGTTCCTCACTGAAGAGTCCTCTAGGTCTTCCCGGAGACGCCTCACCTGGAGGTTAGAGTTCACTGCAGCTGCCTCTCGCCTGCAATCACAAGGGGAGATAATCATACAAATTGTATATATTTGCAATGCGCAGGGGCCTGTTCATTTATGCGGAACAACCGGTACGTCCGTTTTTAAATGTAACCTTTTTCGGGTATAAATCCTGGAAGACCTCCAAAAGTTTATGCAGGCCTTGCAAGGCTTTGTGAAGGCTCGCCTGAAAACAGCATCAGAATTTGTACTGGGTCCAACCTTATTTCAAAAACGAACAACTCCGGTCAAACCGGTTCAACCTTTTGGATCGCGATAAACGAAAACGACCCTGCTGTCTATAATTTCTTTCAATTACCAGGTGCAGTATAAATTGTAAAACTTTTGTTATGTTACCAACAGAAGGTATCATATTATACATATATTATATATATTTACTCCATCATAACTGCATCAATGTTATGTGAATCAGAAATCATTTTGTGGACTTCAACCTCTAAACAAATGGAAACCAATACACTAGATCACTCATAAAATTGTTTCTACCATTATTTTGATTTTATTAAAAATACGTTTTTTTCTGGAGACACACATTCTGCTTGCTTAAGACATTGAAATAGACTGTTAACCAAATATCTCAAATAACATTTTTTTTTTGCAGTTTTTTTTTTTAATTATTAATTAACTTAAAAATGCACACATTGTTTTTTCTATTTTATCATAGTGTTCGCTCAACGGCATGATGTCTAAATTACTACTCACAGACTGCAAAGTGAATGTATTATTTAATCATAATCCTTTATAGAGAGTAACAGAACATACATTTAAACATGCTGTCTACAAACTTTATTAAACCAGCTGTGTATAGTTTCTAAATTGACATGCAAGAGGTGGCCATTTTTTTTCTTTTTCGAATATAATTAGTGAATACAACAATTATATTGAATGTGTCCCCATCTTTTTCTACGTAGTAGTGTTGACAGATCAAAATAAGTTTCGGTTATAGATAAGAAATAAGGTGTCATTAACATATCATAATAAATAGACAGTCCCGTTAAGTGAGGATACAATGAAACAGAACAACTTATCTTGCATACTAGACCGAGATATCCACATTTCCGGCGGTGATGGAAAATTCTATCCGACCCACGGGTCTAGATCGCTTACACGGGCAGACTGGTGGAGGAATTATAGGGACCTTTTGGGGTCACGCTATTGTTCGTAACGTCGTTTTATGACGTTTTGGGGTCAGTCAGGGTCATTGACGTCACTAACAATTGTAATCACGTCACTAACAATCGTAAGTTGTAAGGTTATTCAAACCCTCATGATAAAATATTGAGCAAAAGACCCTCGGCAAAGCCTCGGGTCTCCTGCTCAATATTTTATCCCTTGGGTTTGAATAACCTTATCCATACCTCACATCAGGGATGGATTCTATTAACTCATTCACCCCTGAAGACACATTTGAACTCTTCCAATTCAAAGGTTGGAATAGGTCATTATGAAATTTCAGGGGTGAATGAGTTAATCTAAGATAAACTCAATATAATCGATCAGTACTACCAATATAAGAAAACCAGTCTTCAAAATTTGGTTACCAGATAAATTGTACCAATACCAAGTCTGCTTTGTGTTTGTTTATGTTGTTGGTTTTTTGACACTACTTGTATTTATGTCTATGTTTTCAGCAAAATACTGAATGAATTTATCAAATATTTTAAAACTAAAATATTACGGATTTTTCTCAGACTAAGATACATGTACAGAGAATGTCAGTTTGGTTGACATAAGTTGACAATACACTTCTATTTGTGTTCATTTGCCTGTTATGACTGTGACATTGAATCCTGTGACTGAGAGTATAGTGTTCTTACTCCACAAACAAATAAGTAACATTGCTTATGGTTTACCAGCCCATCGAAAAAATCATTACACGGTACAACATGTAAATCGTAAGTTGTATTGAACTGTATGATAACAAAGTTAAAATGTTATAATAGAAACAAGAAAGTTAAACTTTTTACGTTTGTTTATTATGCAACAATAGAAGAATGCAATACATGTAAAAATAACTTTCATATTAAAGTCAGACTTTTTTCTCTTTTGATCGTAATTTTTTTGTTTCATTTGATAACATGTTCTATGACAGGACATTTTTTTAACATGCAGTGAACTTCAAATACATGAAGGTGAAATTTGAGGTGAATGAAGGAAAGACTGATGTACATTTAAAATGTGCCGGTGGAGAATAAAGATACCAATCCCTCCTGGCAGCAGCTAGTGTAATAATACAGAGACGCAAAAACATGTTAATAGGAAGAATAAGTTATGGTTACCTATGTTTATTGACAGAAAATCATTCAGTTACTGGAATCAAATACATTTGTGGGGAAATCTGAAATTACTTTGTCATATTAATGCAAACAAATGTAAAAGAGGTCATAATTTTTAAAATTACTTTGGCTTATTAATTCAAAGAATTGTACCAGAATCCAGAGGTCATAATTTTTTTAATTACTTTGGCTTATTAATTAAAAGAAAAGTAATAGAGGTCATAATTTTGCAATGCCTCCACTAGCGGCAAACCCAGGACCTCAGATTTACTACCAGGTAGCTAGTCCAGAACTCTACCATGCAAATGAGAAAAAGAAAATGTCTCCCCATAGCCGATTCGGTAAGATTTTACCAGGGTGACATACATTTTGTTGTACAAAAGTTTTGAAGTACAAAAATAATGAAATAAGAAAAGCAAATTTTTCAATCTGATAAAAAAAGTTGTCATATTGTTAAAATAATCATCTTACCATCACAGTTTATGAATGAGCAGAATGAGGTAACAATAATTTTATCATATATCATTGCTTTTTGACAAATCTCACTGTTGTCAATAAAAGAAAATCCACACAAAGAACAGAGAAGTACCAAATGAGACCTAGGCCACATGTGTCAACACTTACTCAAATTTTTCTTCCATGTTCCTCACAGCTTTTTCCATTTCACCAATCCTCTGTTGTAGCTTCTTATTCTCTGTCTGCTCTTTCTGCAGAAACATAACAGATCCAATTTTAATTTTGGGACATAAATATAGGATCTTGAATGAGTTTCCATTTCATATGAGATTTATGAAACGAGTCTAAGAATTTATCAATTCAATTTAGCGAGCCTCTGGCAAGCTAACATGAACAATTCGTGTCAAGTTTCATAAATTTCATATGAAATGAAAACGAGCGTAAGATCCTTTTTTTCACATAATCAAGATTTGTGGCATTTATTCGTGTAAAACGACAATTTTCAAGCAACGTTGAAATGTAAAAAGACGCCATTTTGACTCTAGTGCGTAAGTCTGTGACGTTATATGTACTTGTCCCAGGCGTGACGTCACAATTGAAACAATTGAAATTTACAACCAATCACAGGGCTGATAGGTCATATTACATGGGTTAATACGCAAAAAAATATGACATTGGGTAACACAGGTGATTTCTCACAATACAAGGATAGGTTTCATTGTTCACTACTGTCAGTACCCCCATTGAGGCATCAATCCCAGTAATGCCGCTTCCCTTGTCATAATAACCAATTGATGAAATTGAGATAATCCCATTTACAAGTTCAGAGCAGGTCTTTCTGTTTAAAATCTACACTATCTAAACACTATTTATTTTACAACAATTATGAAACAAGTTATTTCAACTTATATTAAACACTCTTTTTGGCCCGGATGTTAGTCTTATTGTGGGAGGAAACTAGAGTACCTGGAGAAAACCCACATGGTCGGGCAGGGGCCCCCAAACCTAAATCTGACGTCTGATCAGGGAATCGAACCCCGGCTGCTTTGGTTAAAGGCAAGTGCTTTATCTATTGTGCCACCCGACCACATTATAATGTATTTACTGACAGTGATATAACATTTTATCAATGGTTTTCCCAATAAGGTACATACATGTACAATTTTGCCTCGCTGCATAGCTAGGTCGAGTAGTTCATCCTTTTCCTTGGTCAGCTGCTGAATCTTCAGCTGAGTCTCAGCATCAATGCTTTTCTTAGAGTCAGCCTGATTCTGTAGCTTGTAGTTCGCACCTATAAAAACACACACATATATAGAAAACATATTTATAACAAGAAGCCCAATGGTCGTGTATTTCTTACTTATTCAACGTTGCTGGCAAACACACCTCATATTGGTCGGTGACCTCAAAGTGTGTCAAGGTCAAATTGATTTAAACAAACTTGATAGCAAGTAAGCCAATACTTCAAGTAAATTATAATCTTTCCACACTTATATAACTTTATTGGAAGATTTTAACTCCATTCACTTAAACAAATTTGATAGCCCTTCCCAGCATGCTGCCAACTAAATGCCAGGATTATTCAGAAGAAGGTTTTTAAACAGTTTAACACATTTGACCCCTTTCACAACGAAAATGGGTCAAGGCCATTCATTTGAACAAACTTGATAACCCTTCATCTCATCATGTTACAGACCAAATATCATGATGATGGCTCCTACCCTCTTGGTTATTCAAAGTTGTTCAAAATCTTATGAGACATTTTTAACTCCTCTCATTTTCCTAGAAAATGGGTCAAGATCATACCTTTGAAACATTTGATAACCCTTCATCCCAGTATGCTTCAGACCAAATACCTAAGGCATTTGGGTTATTCTGATGAAAAAGCCTAATTTTTTAAGACATTTATGCCCTGTGGTCTTGAGAATGGCTAAATGTCATTATTTTGAACAAAAGTGATAGCCCTTATACCAGCACCCTTGGCATCTTGATTAAGTTGAAACCTAGTAGATGACCTACTTTTTAACCTTTAAAACAGATTACCCTTATGACTTTGAGAGTGTGTCAAGGTTATCCATTTAATTTTTTTATAGCCTCCATCGCAGTACATATGCTATAGTACTCTTGCCCTCCTAACACCCAGTAGATGACCTACTTTTTAACCTTTAAGACAGATTACCCTTATGACTTTGAGAGTGTGTCAAGGTTATCCATTTAAAAATGTGTATAGCCTCCATCGCAGTACATATGCTGCAGTACTCTTGCCCTCCTGACACCCAGTAGATGACCTACTTTTTAACCTCTCCTCAGCCTCCTGTAGCTTGGCCTGTAGAGACTTGACATCCTTCTTGTATTGTTCCTGGAGGGTCCTGATGTCCCCCTGTAGAGCCTCCTCCTTCATTCGGAACTCCTGTGTGATGTGTCTGGAAACAGAGCCACGAAATCCTCACCAATGTATTTAAGAACAAGTATCACACGTTCATAAGGGATGAATAGCATGATACACAAAATATAAAGAAAGATTGAATAATTGTACTTGCTGATTATGAATATTAAAATAAAATCTTGAAAAATAGCTTTAAAAGCAATCTTGATCTTTACTTGATAAAAAAAACCTTGCAATTACAACGTACCCCATAATTTCCGTTTATAGATTATAGTAAAGCTTGAATTTATTGCCTATAGAACTGAAAATTATACTGCGACAATCGCTACTGTACACAGGCTGGAAACCTTGAAATTAAGCGAATTAATGCAAACTTTTATCCATTTGCTGATAAATATTATATTTCTAACAAGTATTACTCCAAAGTTAGCTAAATCAGATATGAAGCTTTAATGTTTTGGTTTAGTGTTGTACCATTTCAGTATGGAGAATTATACTGAGAGAAATGATCCATCGTGGTTATCCAGTAGTGTATATAAATATCCAGTAGTGTATATAAGTACCCAGCAGTGTATATAAGTACCTAGCAGTGTATATAAGTACCTAGCAGTGTATATAAGTACCCAACAGTGTATATAAGTACCCAGCATTGTATATTCCGTCTTTGCATATTGCAGACTTATCTTCTCTTGGGAGCAGGTATTGATTGTTACGGCACTTGTTTGTGAGAGTAACGTCATCAATTTTCGAGAAAACGACGCAATTTTCACACACAGACCAATGACGTAACAATCAATACCTGCTCCCAAGAGAAGATAACTCTACAATACGCAAAGATGGAATAAGTACCCAGCAGTATATATAAGTCCCCAGCAGTGTTTATAAGTACCCAGCAGTGTATATTCCGTCTTTGCATATTGCAGAGTTATCTTCTCTTGGGAGCAGGTATTGATTGTTACGTCACTTGTTTGTGAGAGTAACGTCATCAATTTTTGAGAAAACGACG